TTGGCTATATATCAATAATCTTAGGATGTTTACAAGTAGAATTTTAGAACAGGAAGCTGTCATAAATTTTAACTATTTACTTTAAATAAGTAGTATTTAATTAAGGGTTATTTTGTCTTGTTCCTCCAGGGAACTGCATTGTCAGTGTCTGGAGACTATGATAGGTGATATTGCTCTGTAGAGCATAGAGACCAGTTCTGCTGGAAAATACTCTCCAGAATATGTCATAGCTTCCTACAACAAGGAATTAACCATCTCAAAAGGCCAGATAATGGGATTAAGAATCTTGATTGTTGACTGAAGAGAAGTGAAGCTCAGAGAGACTAAATAAATGATTTTTCGTGATTGTAGAATGTGATGGTATTTGTTGTGAAAATAGTGTAGAATTTGATAACATTTTTCATGGATCCATGCCATGGGATTCCTAAACAATGTTAGGTGACAAAAAACAGCCTAATATTCAAATTCTTTCCCAATACTCCGAATTCCTCAGTTATAAAAGAAATGTGCAGATTTCTGTTTTTCTCATACATCACTTTTTACCTCATTGTCTTCCATTCATTAAAATACATATATGTGTATACGATTTCTTTTCTGGAGAACTAAAGCAGAGAGCTCATCACCTAGCAAAGGTGAATGCTTTCTCCTAGGCCCGACCACTACAAACTATCCAATTTCTTCACCATCACCAGCCCCACAGAAGCCCGGGTGAATCCCCACAGTCTTCAGGACTCTGTTGCTATGGCGCCAGGACTGGACCAGTGTTCTCATATGTAAAAATCATGGCTTTTTGCTAATGAGGGTCCACAGACAACTGCAGAAATACTGACTACAGAACAAAGAATAAGAATAGAAATGGGTATGTCTTGATGAGCAAGCCACACAAATTCACAGGAAGTAGGCTTCATCAGTTCTAGTATCTGTGGTTTTCTTGAATTCTCTTCAGATCTTATTCTGGGAAAAGAAAGTTACCAAGTCAATAGTGTTAATGTGCTTTGCTTTGTTTTGTTTTTGTTGCTCCAAACCAGCAAAACACGAAGGGTCATACACTTTTCAACATAGACTGGGAACAGAAGAGAAAGCATCATCCTAAGAGGAATCCTGGGTTCTATTCAGAGGGGGGGAAGCAGATAGGGAATGAACTTAGGAGGATGCATTGGTTTTGTACACTAAGAGAACGACTGAAAATAGCTTGTTCTCCTCTAAATATTATTAATGAAACCACATGGTGATGTCACTTCTGATCACGCTGTAGTTTTGAGTTGCTGATCTGGAGATAAAAAACTTCCTTTTTGCGCATTCACAGCATTTCTACAGTGGAAAAGACCTTCAGGGTAACTAGAGTGGGTGGGACGCAGTGAGAAAAATAACTTCACCACAACAACAACAAATGACAGGAGAGACAGAAACTTCTCTGGGAGAGCAGAGGGAAAAAAGGTGAAATCTAAGTATTATTGAGCATGTGAAAGAGGAGTCATTTATTTAAGAGGAAGTAACTCATTCACACAAATGTAACCCTGTGGTCCCTCAAAAGTACGTAAATACTACCAATCAGTCCACCACAGATTATCATCAACACTTCTTGGGAAATGCCTCGTTAAAGAATCTTTAAAGCATAATGTGAATGTACATGTCAAGTACTTTCCAAAAGTCATTAAACACCAACCACAGTACCATAATTTTCTTCCCTTCCACAGGCACCACATTTTGCCAAATTTAGTACAAGTTTTGTATTGAGGTCAAACATAAACCCTTTGAATCCAATGGTCTTCAGAAGAGGTCTTCAGATCTATTTCTTAGACAAAGGCCTTAAATCAACCAAAGGAAACTCTTCTTGGGCTTTAAATAACTCTTCTTGGATTTGTTTATTGAATAATAAACAAAATAATTGTATTGCATAAAATGATGAAAAACAATTGTTGAGAAATATTTAAGGATTATGAATCCTAGGCTGTAAAAAATAATACAAAAATGGTGTCCTTAAACCCACCTACCCCTTTTATATGCTCACTTTTCTCTGTTACTTTATGCCTGATTTTGTAAGCTGTTTATTTCTTCCATTAAAAGAATGTTACAGGCCACATAACAGTTACAGTAATCACTTCATTAAAAGATCCACATGTGCTATATTTTGAGTGGTTAATTAGTTCGTTTTTACTTTCTACTGAAGTTTGTTTCCACCAAATCATAGCTGTCTCAAGACTATTAATGTCTGTTTTGTTTGTAGGTTGCACATTGCTGAAAATTAGAGTTCTGGACCATTTGCTTCACAGGCCTCCAGTTGTGCTGGTTAAAAATGCCTACTTCTTTGCCTAACACTGAACTTATTAAATCAGAGTCTCTTGGAAAATGGGACTCTAAAAACTGTATTTAACCTGTGTTTTCAGTGACTCATCTGTTTAGGGGTGAACAGTAAAGATTGGAAAACAAGAAAGATTAACTGTATCATACAAATTGAGCAGAGATAATAGATTAAGTTCACAAATGGAGACATTTTGGAGAGTAAAAAATTTCTTCAAGAATAAAACTGCAAAAACGTATACTGCAAAACTGCAGTATAAGTTATACTGCAAAAACATTTTTGTATATATACAAGTTATTTTTTACATTTTATTCTTTATGCAGAATTTCTTCACTTCTTTTTCTCAGATTTATTTTTTTTTCCATTTAAGCTGTTTTAACACCTCTACTAGAAGAGAAGAAAGGAAAGAAAGGGGAAAAATAGGAAAACTTAGAAATGAAATGTACTATTAAAAGTACTTTAACCTTTAAAAAATATATCCATCTTGACTTCTTAATGCTATCTGGCATTATCCAATTTGTGTTTTCTATATTAGCACATGTTAGGAAATAGAAAATAAGTGGAATTATTTCACGAACAGTTAACATTATTATCCTATTCAATTTATTATATATTTTTAAGGAAACGGGCACACCAATTATAGGGCCCTACTTAAACACATGAGAAAAAAATATCTATTGTTAAAGTGTTTATGCTTAACCTTAAGAATTTTAGCATTTATTTTCCATTCCACAATACAAAACTGTAGGAATTTTTATTAACATTTCAACCGACTGAATACTTTGCAAATTGTTTCTAATAAAATAAAAAAGAAAAACTTTCACTGCCACCAAGTTCTAGTAACAGTAGTAATCCTGAATCTGTCCTCAACTTAACTTTCAGCAAGAGGGAGCAATAATGGTTTGTGGGCCATTACGTAGACTATGCTTTAATTCCCCTGACTTTTGGGCCCACATTTAATTTCCTAGGATCAAAACTTGAAATTATGTCATTATTTTAGTTCAGAATTCTTGTCTCACAATCATCATTAATAAGATTCTTGCTTTGTTCAGAGAGTTACTGTTACAATCAGCAGTAATGATAGCCATTATTATTAAAAATGCAGGGCAGACAATAAGGTTTGGACCGAATCTGAAGCTCAGCGTGTGCACTACTGGGCCACTGTGTAAAGCTGCCCTGAAAACTGTGTGGGACCCACAGTGCAATGAAGTCATCTTTGCCCAGTGCCTGGGGGAAGCCTTGGCACAGAGCGTTAGGATGCCAGCAGGACAGGGAGTTCAGAGCCTGGGCCTCTTGGGAAGCAAGAACCTTCTTAATTAACTATGGGTGTGATGATTCAGAATGTGTTTTGAAATGTTGGTGATGCATGGGCCAAAATTCAGGAAAGGATTAAATAAGATCATGAAGGGCAAAACATTGTCTACAAAGTATGATGGCACCCCTGACAGTGTGATCTGAGGCCAGCTCTCTGCTCAGGTATTCTACCTCCCACTGGTCATCTCTGAAGATGGGCCTTTCCTTTACTCATCTGTGTGCCACCTCATCACCTCATCCGACCACAAAGGTCAGCGAAGAGCAACTGTGGCATAATTTTCAAGTGATCTTCAATGTGTACTGATTACCATTGTGCATGGCACGGTGCTGGAACTATGTGCTAGGGGCAAACCCAAAAGGATTCAGTGGGAAAGAGCTGAGTGGCTTTCACTTTCCCAACCCATAAGAACAAATCCTGGAAGACATTCAGCCAGAACTCAGCTAGTGCAAGACAAAAGTCCAGCCTCTAAGTGCGGGTACCCTTCCTTTAGGTACTAAAACTTTAAAGATTAGTTTGGGGTCTGTCTTTTGCCTTTAACAAAAATTAGAATGAGATTTCTGTCTTCAGACTGCTAGTTAAAACAATGATAAAAATAATCCTAAAAGTAATCTTTCTTTGAAAACTTTAAGTATGTGAACTATTCTGTTAGATATTGAATGAATACACATTCTCCCTCTCATGAATGTGGGAGTACGGGAATGCATGCAAGCGCGCACACACACACACACACACACACACACACAGAGGCACAAGTGAGCACACATTTATTTTACTCTGTTCTGGGAGAACGGAAAGTGATAAAGAGCACTTTCTGTTGGCAGAAGGTGACAGAGTTGTAGAAAGGGAAGGGGAAGACTATACTTTGGAACAAAACACTCCGTCCTGGGTTAGTGCAAACACGAGGATCAAGGAACCAAAGTCTTGTGATGGAATCATCAGTATCTGGACACTTAGTTGTAGCCTCCCTCCCTGAAGATCTTTATTAAGGTTTTGGGCAATCTATGCTTTGAGATTTCTCATTTGTAGAACCTGATTATACATCTTGACTTGTTTCTCAGGAAAGTAAGGTGATACATTAATATTTGTGGAAACACTTTGAGACCTAACAATAAAAGGTGCATTATAGTAAATAGTACTCAGTCTTTCCTAGCCTCTCCCTCTTTCATATACATATTTTTGCAAAGTTCATCTAAATGATTGGAGGCTGTTTTGTTCAAGAAAAAATCAGTGTTTCAGTTATCTCTCAAGAACCTAACAAAATCACTAAACATGACAAATAAAGAGTAATGGTGACACACAATGAGGGTTAAGGTTTTTAAAATTTTGAAAGAAAACAGATTTCAGTTCTAGCCTCATGTGAGGTTATTATAAGCAACAGTGAATATTAATGATTACAAAATGAGGAAAAATACATTGACAGTGTCATTTGAAAACAATTGTGTTAAGAGGCTTTTTACACACATTTTACACAGTGTGGATATCCAAAATGGGTTTTAGAGGAAATTAAGAGGATTGTTTTTCAAAGTATTAAATACACAAAGGCAGGAAGGGAAAAGAGGAAGAGTTGGCTGATGGAATTCAGCCTCGAGACAGAATCTTCTTACCGAGGACACAGAGATGGCAATAGTGACTTCCTCTTTGGGCTTTTTTAGGGGTTTAGGTACCTGTAAATGATGAGTTTCTTTTGCATATATTTAACCAAAAATATTTTCTTTGTTTTTCCCTCTCATTTAGTTTCTCTGTACATGTGGGGATTCTGAATATTGGAAGCAAACTACGTGTGATTGCTATTGATTTGATTGGCACAAAGTGTGAGCGGTAAGTTCCTCTTTTCCAAACCCAAGTGGCATCTTTCTGTCTCTTTCTCACTCCTACTTCAAAACCAGTTCCTCATCTTATCTTCCTTATTTTAGCTACTGCCATCTTTGTTTTCCCAGTCACTCAGTCTTCAAAACACGGGCTCCTCTAACCTCACGGATACTCTACAAATCATACACAATGGGCCAACAGACTCTCGTCCCTATGCGGGTATATGAGCCTCAGCACTTAAAGTAGTGCCCGTGAATCCCCTGGAGCAGATCTTTGATTCTGTAGAACCCAGGAATGGCCCAAGATTCTGCATTTGTAATAAGCTCTGGGTACCATATTGTAAATAGCAAGGCATGTACATTTGCCTTCAAGCAACAGATTTGCTTGGTACTGATGTAACTATCTCTTTCGCTGCTTGTTTTTGAAACCTCAGCCCAGGCAGCACTGAGCAGGTAATCATGAGTATATGATACTTTGCCACTGAGCTAAATCCTTGACCCTGAGTTAAAGTTTTTTAAAGGAATAGAATAAAGAGCATCATGAAGACACAATCCCCAGACAAATGGGAGACCAATGAAACTTTGTCTTCTCTCCTGTTCTGCTTTCTGACTGCTCTTTATATTTCATTCTTTACATGTTATTGTGTGCTTTGTTTTATCATTGTTCATTCCTTTTTCCTAAACTATATTCAGGGAATAAAAATTAAAATAAATGACATGATTTCACAACATCAAGAAACTTATAATCTTACATAGAAAATATCTTTGTAAACAAAGCAATACATTGAAATGTAATATTTTCCTGTGCCTATAATAGGTTTCTCATTCTTCTGAACTCTTTCCCGCCTCAAAGCCCTCATGGTCACACATACCATATCAATATTAAACTGTCTTGTGTAATATTCTAATACTAATTATAATTGTAATCTCCAAAAATATTGCATTATCAATGGTCAAAGCTATCAATGGTCACACTGTCAAAAATGAACTGTTATTGTTTCAATGAAGAGATCATGGTTTTGAGGCTGGATTGTTTATGGGTTGTCTTGGTTACTTTTCTCTTGTTATTGAGACAAAATACCTGATGCCCAAGTGAAGCAAATAAAAGTTTATTTAGCTTACCGTGTTTTGATGTTTCAGTTCACACTCAGCTGGCTCCAAGGCAGGATGGAGTGACTGAGGGGCAGCCATTCATGGTGGCCACAAACAACAAGAGAGAAAGGACAAAAGAGGAAAAGCACTCCTCCTTTCCTCCCTTATATAGTATGCCAGCTACCTGCCCCTGGACAGGTACAACACTCACACTGCTAATCCCAGCACTAGACAATGACCCAGTGACAAATGCTAGATTCATCTTCTGGGTAATTGCATGAGGCTTGGAGGAGTGTCATCCAAACATAAACCATAACATTTCACATGTGGACCCCCAAAGACTCATGCACATCCTTTGCGCAAAAGACATTCAGTCCATCTCCAAGAGCTCCCAAAGTCCTATCAGTTTCAGCATTGGTGAAAAGTGCAAGTCCTAAGTCTCCTCCAAGTTTTAAGGCAAACTTGCAGCGATAACCACCTGTACAAATGAAAACAAAACTAAACACTTCCAATATTAAATGATACAAGATAAACAGTACCATTCCAGAGGGTACAAATCGAGGGATACAAAGGAATGGGACTAAAGGAAGTCCAAAATCTAGCAGGATTAACATTAAATCCTGGAGTTCCTCACTCAGCATTTAAAGAAATCTGGTTGTGAGCTCCAAAGGTCTTGGGTGACTCAACTCTATAGCATTTCCAGTGGTTTTAGCTCCCACTGCTTCTCTCTTGGGCTGGCTTTGCTCTCTCCTTGCAAGTTTTCTTAGACAGTCCACCCTGCTGGCTTTTCCAGACTTTTGGGCTCTCTGTTACACCTTTGACTTCACACTTAAAGCTTCACATACTGCCCTCTCAGGGGCACACTGCCCACACTCCCAGACCCTATGGAATCAGGGTGGAAGTGTTTTTAACCTCAGAACTTGTGCATTCTCTGGGCACCTAAAACCAGTGACATGTGGATGCTGTCAGGGCCTACTGCTAGCCAGAGCAGTAGCCGGGATTTCCTCTCTCTTGGCCATTGGAATTGAGTCCCTGGATTGCTCAGCACTCTGAACCTGATTGTGAGGAATAGATTGTCTGTATTGCTGCCATTCTGCAACCTACTGTGGCAGCTGCCATTTTGGACCTTCCTGTGGCCTCTGCTGCCATTCTGGAACATGGCACTCTACACATTTCTCCTCTGCACAAAGTCTTTCACTTTTACTGTGCTGAGGCTGCAAAGATGGAGACTCAATTGCTTTCGAGAATGCCCACATCATCTTTTTAATTTATCTGTTCCTTCTCAGCAATCAAGGTCTCAGCTCTATCTTTGTAGTCCACAGTTTTCTGATCAAACTCACAACATTTTGAGTCATCCTTGGGAAAGGCAGAGGCAGACAGTAGATTCCAGGGAGCCCCAATTCCTTCCACCCCAATTTCTGCATATCAGGATGCCAAATTTTGTATTCACTTTGTGGAAGATTCCTGGAATATCTGTTGCTCTTCTGATATTTCAGGTAGTCTCAGCCACTGAATTTAACTAACTGCTATTTCGTACTATGTAGAATAGGACAAGGATAACTTTGGATCATGCAAATGGACCAACAACACAGAGATTACACAAGCACTTCCCTTAACTTGCAGTGGTATGCCTTATGGTTTCCTGCACTTGATTACAGTGAGCTTCTAGTGATGGCATTTCAGACTTCTAGTGATGGCATTTCTCTTTCTTCCTTTTCAGCCCAGGGCTCACTCACTTTATTTCTTTTCACTTATGTTATAATAAAAAGGCGAAGACCATTCAAAGGAAAGTAGCTAGTTCCTGATCCAGGTATCTCAATATTCAGCAGCAATCTGGTAATGCAAATTCTATTTTCTTACTACCTGTTATAATCATAATAAAATATAAAAAATAGTGTTTATAATGTGCCAGAATTATTTGAAGTGTATACATCCATTGACTTATTTAATTCTCATAGCAAATTTATGAGCTATTCATTTGCAAGATAAACTTGAAGTACAGAGAAGTAAGGCAACTTGTCCAAGGTCACACAGTAGGCAGCAAAGCTAATATTCAAACGTAGACAGTTCAACTTCAGATCCTATATCTATAGCCTCCTTTGGTCATGAAGACTGTCACACACATGCAGGGCTGTATTCAGATGTTCTAGGGAGCTGTTGAAAGATTCTCAAAATGGGTTATAATCAGATTGACTACTGCATCAAGATTGTAGTAGTAGCTCAGGACATTTCTGTATTTCCTGGTCAATTCCCTCTCTCGAAGTCTATCTTAATGATTCTGTGGTTAAACGATTAGGCAATGCATTCCAGCAAGCTTTAGAAGAAAAGCCTTGTTAATAATAATAGCAAACATTTTATTAAGTGTTACTGAGACTTGGCAAATTTTACATGGATTGTGGCTTTTAATCTTCATAATATTCCCAAAGGCAATAATACTATGTTCCTCTTTCTGGTGTGTATAAACTATGTGTCCAGATTATACCTTCAGTATGTGGAGCACAAATTAGAAAAATAATTTAATCTCATTCTCAGAATCTTAGTTACTGTTGTGTAATTTAATAAAATACAGATTGGTGATTCTGACCCTTGTTAATGGTAATATATTTGACATTTTATGTAATGTTTCTTAATTTTTGAAAATGGGAATTTTTAATCTTCTGGGTGATGGGGAAAAGTAACAAAGAAAAAACTATGTCACCAATTTAGAAAGTTAAAAATTCAACTAATAAAGGACATTTTTGATTTCTCCATTCTTCTATACAATGGTTCACTTTTGCTCTTTGCGTAGAAACTAATCTCCTTTCTTCTTAAATGTATACCTGAATCTCCTTTCAGATATACCACTCAACATTTTTTGGCAGAGATCTTCCTTTATTTTCACATGTTCATCAACATTTTGTTACTTTGTGAATACAAAAGCTTTCTTTCTGGTGGATTCCACAATAAATTCTGGAATAGACGTGCTTTGGAAATTTTAGGTGTTATTCATTACAAAAGAATTATTGTGTGAATTGATATACAATAACTTTCTTCTTTTTGATAGGTGACATGTCTTCCTTATTTCTTACTACATTAAGAGCTCATATAAACAAAGAAACTCGAAGTTTCTGGGTCTTTAATTTTATTTCTATAATTGTTAACATGAATAAATAAACCTTTTCCACATTGTAAATTTTTAGTGTTAATATTAGTAATAATGGTAGTAGTAGTATCCCTGCTGCTAGTAATATTAGCTTGATTACTGTAACATTGTAGCACTAATAGCCAAAGTCTTAAAGGGGGAAAGGACTGAGATCCCAAGGAGTTGAAAAAGCTGTTTACAATCAAGGAAGAGACTGGAATAGCTGGGTTCAGAACTGATGACCCCTCTTATCTAGGTATTAAACAATGAATTCTAATAAAAGAACTTTTAATCACTGCCTGAGTAATGACATCCTCAACAATAGAGCTAATCACAAAACAGTTTCTGCGTGTTCACATATAGCTGTTCATCCACACAGTACGACTCTCACCTTATCTTTTAGCTTTATCCAACTGTTATTAGAGAGGCTACTTCACTCATTCATGGAGGATGCATTTCTGAAGCCCATGTGCTGTTTCAGGAGTGGAGCTATGTAATGATAACAAAAATGAATTTCATTGTCCCTTTATAAGTCGAATCTTTTGTTTGTTTTACATAAAGTTTTGGCCTCTATTTCCACATATTGCCAGATTCTTAAAACTAGCCCCAGGTGCTTAAGACAACTGAGTGATTGCATCCATCTACCTGTCCATCCATCTATCCATCCAGTGGAAATTTATAGAGAATTCACTGTGTGCCATGAGGATAAAGGGATACAGGAAACAAACATAATCCTTCTCTCTGGTAGATTAAAAACAAAGAAACAAAATAATCACAAACCTTGAAATATACCATGTAATAAACAAATCTGAGATAATAGAACGTGAGTCAACTTTAGAGAAGATAGCTAGTAAAGCCCTTTGAGAAGGTGATATTTATTCTGCTATCTGTAAAATGAGAAGGAACTAGCCAAGTGAAGAGTGTAAAACAATTCCAGTAAAGGATCAGAGCAGAGATACCTTGGGGCAGAAAAGAATAGGGGATTTTCTAAGCAGAAATCGGCACCATCTGATTTGGTTTTTAAGAATATACAGTAGTTTTGGCTGCTATAATGAGTGGGTTAAAAGGAGCAAGGATTAAAATTGGAAACTACTGCATATTTAGGAGCAGTCTCTGTATCACAGGTAAGAGACCATGGCGGGTAGGTGGTAGAAATGGAGAGATAAAGGTCTAGAAGACACAAAAGAGATTTCGCAGGGAGCTCTGTTATGGCGTGCATGAAGATATTCCTCTGAAGTCTCAAGCAGTCACAGATGGGGCTTTTCAGAGGTGGCTGGTCTAGGCTGTGTGACGCTAGTGTTAAATTTGTGATGCTGGAATTGTGTGTTCCATCTTGGGTGTGGGAAGCACCAATCAAAGACGTGTATCCTGGATGAGACACATGGGAGAGGCGGGCTTGTGGTTGCTTCTTTTGTTCTGCTGTTTACTTTGCAGTCTTCTGCCCGCCCTGCTTTGCCATGGACTGTTTCTTCTCTGTGATGCTCCTCTGCCATGCAGCCTGCCTGGGAGCCAGCTGACTATGGGTGGGAGTTCCTACAAACTGAACTGAAATAAGTCTTTTTTCTTTTGATCTTGGGACTTGTGTATTTCGCCTCAGCAATAAGAACAGTAACTAAGACAAGAAACAATAGGATTTTCTGATGGACTTAAAGCAACAGAAAGGTAAAATCAATAGCCACGAATAATTTTCAAGTTGCAACTTGGAAAAATTGTGTGATCGTTTTTGTCACTGACTGAGATGAGAAATGCTAGGGATTGGAATGCAGATTTTGGGGAGAAAATATGAGTTGAATGTAAAGGAAGAAGACATTTTGAAAGCATCCCTCATATTCATAATTTAGAAATTCAATCTCATATTTATGGAGTAGAAAGAATATTATTTGAAAGAGTATTCTGACCTCATTCTTCAGGAAGTATACTTGTGCACAACAGCAAAGATATCTGGTACACTAGGATAAAGTCATCACAGAACTTGTTGGTTGGTGTAGTACTGACTCAAAATACTTTATTTGCAGCTTAAATCTTTTGTGTTCCATACCTGCCAAGGAATCACACAGACCGTGTAGAATACTCATCACTATAGAGGATACATGACAATAATAAAAATGATGATGATGATGATAATAATAGCATCTATTTCCTATATACATCAGAGACTCTTCTCAGGAGTTAACAAAAAAATACGTTTGTCAAATATTTCTTAAACTCAATGATGTGTTACCCAGTCTACACTTTCATTAATTTAATCTTTGGGACCACCTCAAAACAAGCAAATTGCAGAGTATTGAGGTAGTGGGTGAATGGAATGACTTGCAGGGTTAAGAAGGTTCCCTTGTTCTTATTCCAGCTTACTCAGCACTTTAGCCTGTAATCTTTTTCTTACTGGCACTGGCAAAGTTGGATGAGATATCATTTGAATTCCTTTCTCGCTCTAAATTTCAACAGTTCCAAGGTTTTTATATTCACGTTTAAATGGTCAAAAGAGTGAGGTGGACATGCCTCTCTGCAATCCCCAGCAATCCATATACTATGTCAAGAGAATTACCATGAGTCTAGCACCATTTCTGAGCTACATAGTGAGTTCAAGACCAGCCTGAGGTACTTACTAAGACCCTGTATCAAAAAATTAAAACAACAACAAAAATGTCTATATATATATTCAAGGAAAGAAATATTCTTTCATATAAAATATATTCTATGAAAGAATGGAACTGCCAAAGGACTAAGATGATCCAGTCCTGTAGTTTTTATGTACAAGATTTATATTTAAACTTGTGTTGGTTAATGGAATCCTTAGTCTTTTTAAGGAATAGAAATGCCATCCATTTTTTTGTACTATTTTTGAAATTTTTGGCCAAAATCCAAGTTGAATACATTGTCTGCTATTATACAAAACATGTATTTTATTTTTTCCACAAATCCAAACGCTTAAAACCTTCCGGAGTTCTAAGAGAAGACTAATTCTACAGATAAAAAAATGTGTATTTTCCATACCTATTGTGAGTGTCATCACTTATTGAATGCTGTCCTGGGAGAGTCGCTGATGTAGAAGGAATGGACGGAGACCAGGCCAGAGTGGAGGTAAGAGACGCAAGAGCTCTTCGCTGCTCATTCACTCCATCTCCTGCTTCAGCAAGAGCAAGGGGAGAACACGATAAGTGACACCCATAAGGATGCAGCACGTCTGGTACCAGCTTAATGCGGAAACCCCAATAAATCCCATAATTCATGCCATTAATGAGGAATCTGAAAGATCACACGTAATAACTCCACAAGATCCTCTACCTTCACCCCATGAAGACATTCGTGACTTATCTTCAAGCTCAGTTCTTATTGGAGGTGAACCTGCAGGTGTTTTTTCTCCCCAGGAATCCATGAGATGGAACTCCAAGAGCCATACAATAGGTTTCCTCACTTTACTGCCAGGGTACTCAAGACCCAACTCCTAAGGGGGAGGACACTTCAGGTGCTCAGCAGTACTTATGCCTTTGTCCTAATCATTCTATCTGATTTGTGATAACTTTGCAATGATAACAAGTTTGCTGCATTAATTGTTGCTCTTCCCTTTGACAAAAGTGCAGAATGATGTCCTGTCTCGCGGGCCTATATTTTTATGTTCGCATCAGTTGCATGGATTGTTTGCCAAGGAGGCACAGTGTTTGACTCTGAGCTAGTGTAGACTGGTTGTGATGGAATAATTGTTATAATACCAAATCTAATTAAATATTCTGTAAACTTTGAAGTATTTATGCAAAAGAAATACAATTGTTTCTATGAAAACAAAGTTGTATGCGTTAGAATGACTCAATAATGTGAAGTTGCTAAAAATAAAGATGTGGAATTAGGCATGAGAGAGACAAGTGGAAAAACTTGGGGAAAGGTCGGTTAGCAACGTGACTTCCACATTCGATTGCTTTGAAAGTATTTCTACATTCTCCTTCATTTGAGAAAAACCAAATCTTGACATTGCAGTAGTGCTGGATCATAAATGTGGTCTTATGAATGTATATTTGTTTAAAGTAAAATAAAATGATTAAATGTTTACTTTTAATTTCCCCTTTAACTTTATTAATTAATCAACTAATGATCATGTCAGATAAGAAAATTTCTACTAGAAAAGTCAATTTCAATCAACTTGTGTGGGAGGGATATATCTGAAAAGGTATACAAAGGAATAAAAACTAACTCATCTGTGCTTAATGAATCTAGTATCATCATTTCAATTTGGCCAAATTATGTAGGCAACTCATTGATAAGATGGGAATGTGAGACACAAACTCACTTGCTTTGGAATTGCTTTACAGTGGATTTGTGTTCTTATAGTGAACACAAAGGCATGCAATACAAAGAGTTGCATTTTCAGACATCCTCTGAGACTGTTTGCAGCAGCCTGCTATGGTACCAGAAAAATCCCAGAGTTTGGAGTCAGCTAGATGTAGGTTTTGTGACTCAACCTAGCAGTGACCACCTTCTTGATCTTAGGTAAAAATTAAGCATTTTGGAGTCTGAAGTTTCCTCAGTTCTAGAGAATGTGGCCAGAACTTTATATCTCATAGACTTCAGTAAAATTCAATAAAATATCTACAAGTATCTAGCATGACTATCATTTTTAAACATTCAGTGAAAGGTTCATTTTCATTCCCTTGTTGTTTCCAAGTGCAAAACAATATTTGTTGTCACAGATAGAGGTTTAACAGACACATATAGAAGCTATCAACTCTTGCTCGCTCTGTTATTTTAACTTCTGTTCTTACATTTTTGTATTCTACATGTAAGCAATACACTTAAGAAATGTATCAGCTGGTGGCCTTTTTGTGCATCACAATATATGAAATACTCTTTATGATAGTTATCTTTTAGCAACAGTTGTCTTTGATTCACTCACACAATATTATAGATAATCTTGGCTTACCAGCTGATTCAGAAAAAAAATGAGAAAGACTTTTATTCTCTAAGTCCATATGGATAAATGGGGTAAACTGAGGTACAAGTACCTTCAAGGGGCTTAAATTCAGGGTAAATATCCATACTTACCTGAGCAACAGTTCAACATCTTGATATTTAAGCATCTACAAATTCTATGCACACCCATAACCTTCTTTAAATTTAATCTTGCTTTTTTTACATGGGGAAACAATCTTTTGAAAAGGCCTACATCAAGGATTTCCTGGGCCACCCTGTGCTCTGAGTTTCCATGGTAAATCTAGGCCAGTATGCTGCTCTGAATAGATGACAAATTCCAGTGTTGCTTACTTTTTTCCCATGAAATTTAAAATAAATAATTAACCTATTTCCAACACAGTGTTTGGTATTGATTTAATTTAGCATGTGTTATTCATCTGCATGCCTCACAACGGTTGCTTAATTGTCTAAATCTTCCCGTGTAGAGTGCTGCCTATGGAATCTCTTTCCACAGAACACTCCTTGCAGAGTGTGGCTTACTATTTCCATAACATCTGTCTTTTCTACTAAGTAGCAGATTAACAATTATGCTTCTTTTAAAGTAAGTGTGTGTGTGTTTGTGTGTGTGTGTGTGTGTGTGTGTGTGTGTATTTAGGGAGGGATGGACAAGATAATTTGCTTTCTGATACAGTAGTTTGCAGTCTATCACCAAGTCTGAGATTTTGCTTGTACCCATAATGCAGCTGGCAAGATCACCCTTTTCTTATGCCTTATTATTCTACATAATGCCACAGTGTTTCCACTAAACCGGATTGTTTGCAAAAGAGACAACTTATGCAACTCTTTCTCCTGCTACTACCCTTCATGTTTCTCTCCCCCTCTCACACATACAAACACACACAAATGTATACACACATGCACACAAAGCTCCTTTTAACTGTATTAAGCAGTAAAGCAGAAGGATTTTTTAAATTAGTGTTTTGTTTTGGCAATGGTTGCTGATGTGTTCGTGTAATACAGTTTTAATCAAATCCCCAAAGCTGAAGACCTTTCAGCATATCTTAGGCTGCACTGTGCAGGGCTTATTCCACTTGAAGTGGCCACCAGGGAAGTACAATTAGCTGTTCCCATGGAGAAGTTTGTTACCAGTAATAAATAATAAGTAGCATAGGTAGCGATGGAATCAATTAAAGATATTTTTGACCATCTAATGGTTTATGGGAATGCTAAATAATTGACAACAAGTTTTTGACTATGTTTTCTATCTACATGTCTCCTTATAACTAACATTGACCATGCACATAGGACAGTGTCTGGGGTTGCTACATTTTTGTTCTTAAAGCCACACTGTTGAGGGTGCTCTATGAAAGACAATTGCAGCCCTTACATAACTGAGCTGATTTTGAGAGGGTTAAAACTCTGCTGTAAATATTTGCTGCAGGCGGAAATCTAACATATGAAGCAGGAGAACAAATTGTGTTATCAGTTTCAAAAACAATCTGTTTCGCCATTCATTTATTTTTTTAACCAGTGTAAAACAGAACAATAGGAGTTGACTGGCTGAGAGGGCTTTGTGCTTTGTCTCTGGGTTCCAACAGCTTTGATGTTAAAATGGAAATTTGGCGAGTGGGATTTGGTAAAGTGCTCTAAATGCTTTTGGCATCCTGACAGGGAAAAGAATGAAAATGGTCAAGCCACCTTGGTTCAAAATTGGTGTTCATGAATTGCTTTCTAAATAAAATCTTAGAAAGAAAGAGGAGAGATGGCTTCATTGTGTGTATTCAGGTGAATCGATGTGCCCTCTGTCACCTACAGCAGATCAGTGATCCACAAGTTTACCAGTTAGCTAAATTACACCAACAGATGCAGTTGTTCCTGCGAAGCTACTGAATAAGTGACACACAGACTCAATGCCAGTGTAGGTCTCCCTGGGAATCAGACTAAAAGTTGGGCCAAATGAACCTTAAGTCATAATTACCATTATTTGATTGGAAAAAGTAGTTTCACCTGATGATCTATTACTATTGTAAAAGCCCCCGTGCAGGTTGGTTTACCTCGATGCAGAATGCTCCTACTCTTTCCTGAGGATGTTTATGAAGTCCACACGAACAATGAGTTATACAAGGGGGACAGAAACTCTCTTTCTGGGCTCTGACGTGGGAAATTTGTAAGCACATGCTAAGTTATTTCGCAGGTCAAATGTGCTGTATTTCATGTGATAGTACCTGGTATTTTATCAAGGGCCAGCCAGCTACAGACCATGGCTCATTCTCAGTTTTGTAAACAAAGGGTTATTATAACACAGAAACATCCTCTCATTTATGTATCGTGCACGAGTGCTTTATAATATGCTGGCAGAGCTGAATAGTTGCAACAGAGACCATATGTATTGTCGGCAAAGCTGAAAATACTTACAGTTTGACCCTTTACCGAAATCAGTTTGCCAGCCCCACTTTAAAGAATCCTTTTATCTGAAGATTTAAACTCACCTGTTGTCCTTGTGACATTCTTTTGACAGGAAAGTTTGTGCTTCACCTCTGTCATCTCTGGTTTTCATTCTGAAACTGTAAGGCAAGAAATCTGAGAATGAGAAAATAAACAAATATCATCATACAGTTATTCACACCAGGTCTGATGATAGATATTGATAAGAGAGTCCACAGTGATCGACAGAATGACCTGGCTCTCTGTGGGAGAGATGTGGAAGGATTAGGCCACCTTAGGAGCTGGATCACACGTGACAGGGTCCTCTGGAAGTTTGTCACAATAGTGATGAGCTCTGGAAGGAGAAAGTGGGGGTGAAACTAGGAACAACACAAAAAAATGAAACGTAAAGTGGCTCTAGAATTTGGAGGGAGCCAGCACGTGCACCAGAAGAAAGCAAAGTGCTCTAAAGAGACTGCTAACATGCAGAAGAGTGGCTGGGATATTTTTCCTGAATGGTGGCTTCTTGGTGCCCACCTTGCTGAGTGAGGGTGAACAGTTTCCATTTTTCTGCAGTAGCTGGCTCCTTTCTCTCCAGCCATGTACAGAGTTGTCTGCACTGAGCTAAAAAACAATGAGCAAAGTTGGAGACAGCGGAGCAGTCTTTCTGTGAGTCTGGAAATCCTTCCCCTCCACACTACTAAACACAAATGAGGGTGTGGGCTAGAGTTTACCATGGTATGCTTCTAGCATGGACGGGCTCACTCGACAACCCACATCTCTTCCAGCTAGGTAGGAATTAGTAAATGTGACCTGTGGTTAGGACTTTTCAATGCACATGGAGAGACCATTGGCAGTTAAAAAAAAGTATTTTTGACAATTACTGGGAAAATAGAGAAAAAAGCAGTAAGAGAAGAGGAAATACTGAGTAGCTCAATCCTTACTATCTTGCAGATGCAAAAAGCCGAAGACAACTGTATGTCAGGCTCCCTAGACTGCTCCTGTCTCCCTCTGCCAAGGGGCACATCTCCTTTTGCCCAAATGACTCTTTTTTTAAAAAATTTCTTAACTTCTCTCTTTTCTTTTTGTTTTTTCCCTCTCTCTCTTTCCTTTCTTTCTTTTCTATCAAACCCGAGACCTATAAAAGCATCTGTAAGCATTTTTTGTCCTGCTTATGACCCCAAACATTACTGGCTCTGTTTTATTTCCTGGAAATACTATATCTCCATCTCACTCTATGTCTTCCCAGTCAAGACCTTGTATTTTCAGTACCTGAAATGCTTGCAAACTCATAATTAGGCTTTGTGTAAACACGTAAGGCTTTTACTTTCCTTTTATAAAGGGTTGTTAAACAAGATTTGGGTGGAGATTTTGGCACATCCGATCTTTATTTTTTCAAATCACTTATTAACAAGAGACAAGCCACATTCATTTTATATAACACAAGTAGGAATTCAGCTCTCCAAAGTTATCTTTCCTCTCAGTGTCTTATAAAATTAATAGATTAAATAAAATTCTTAAACAAGAAAATCAAAATAGATATTCATTTAAAGTTGTTTTACCTTCATTGTTATCTAAAGGAGTCAGAGATATGCTTGTTAAAAAACTCTTTTGAAGTCTTTCATGATGCAATACTTAATCTTTAAAATTAAAGACTAGAGAAGGAGAAATTCTTGTTCAGTGTCAAGGTAAAACTGAAGCTGAAATTGTCCTTGAACATACCACTTAATTTTTGAGAATCTGTGCTCATTGTATTTACCACTCTTTGTTAGTACAGTGAAGATGACCTTCCTGATGAAGGGAGCACACATCTTTATCATTCGGGATGGTGGTTTTCACCTCTGTTCCCAGAGTCTTTTAATCTTCTTTCTGACAGGCTTGCCAGCAGTTGTGTCAAACTCAAAGCCTGAGCAACCTGCCGATTTGGTGTCTAAATTATTATCTGCTTTTGAACAATTGTTTAGTCAATAGATGCCCTGTCCTCTTGACTTTTCAGTCCATGATGCATCCTTTATTCATGATTGCCTGCTTCCACTCTTTGCTGCTCGTAATCCTGCTACCTACTCTTTGTCTTACATGGTTCCTTCTGCGTATGATGTCCAGCCACAGAGGTAAAGGAGAATCACTGAAATACATTGTTCTCTTTACTCCTTCTGCATTCCATCCCTTTTGTACCAAAATCCTTTGTCTCGCTTGTTTTCTTTGGTGGCATTCTTGGAGATCATCTCCTCCTCATGCAGTTAACCGCAGTGGGTGATATTGTTGAGTTAAAACTCTTCTCAAAGTTACTTTAGAAGCTCAGTTATATTTTGTGGCTCACACTGCTGAACAAGTATATGTTAATGTCTTTCTTCCCAGGTATCAGGGGCCATGAGCTTCCTTTATCACTAATGTTTAAATTAGGAAATGACATATGGTTAGAAGTCCCAGGTATATTGTGAGCTGGGTTGCGGAACAGGTGAAATCAAAGTTGTCTGATTCTTGGGAGAGTGAGTAAAAAGGCTGGGCATAAATACTTTAAAATTTCAGTATAGCTTGTCATCGAATTCATATGAATCCCTTTTGTTAGTCCCTACAGTGTTGACTGCTGGAGTAAGATCACTGGAGATGAAGATAAGGAGATGAAGAGAAGCTTAATTTTTAAATGGATGAATTCCAATCAGATTCACCAGTGTTTTGGAAACATGGGCCATATACATAAAGATATAATCCAGTATCTGCAAAACTGACACATACAAGTCCTTCCTTCTAGTGTGTTGCCCGAATACAAAATCATCTATAATTCAAGAAACAAAAAGCACTAGAGGGGAGAATTTTGCCAAACTGGACCAACCTGTTCTAGCAGTTATGGACAAAGAAGTATCTGATGAAGTCTCAAGGTACAAGAGTTGTAGCACGGGTTGCAAGAAGCATCCTGTGTCTCCCCCTGCTGGTTGGTGCAATAAGTTAATGAAACAACCCCAGGACTCCTAAGGAGGCCTATAAGGCCATGACTTCATGCTTTGTGGTGTCTGGTCATCTGGCCTCTGTGAACTTTGAGTACGCAAGGTTGATCTAGAGTTCATATCAGGATATTTTCTCTCATCCTCAGCCTTCCAAATCTGTTTAATTAGCATTCTGCATTTCTTAACAATTCTAACTTCACATCCCATTGAAATAAACCATTAAGAACTCACTTCTTGCATATTTTAATTCCAGGCTATCACTGCATTTTGATTAGATTAAAATTGGTTAAAAAAAGGGTTGCATTTGAAAATAATCTGAAATGTTACCACATGGAGTATAATTTCCTTTAGTCTTCTCAGGATGATGTTAGTCTACCAGCAAACCTCGAAATACTAAAAAAAAGTAATCATTATAAATTGCAATGCCAGAAAAGGTAAATCCACAGATAATTTTGGAAGAAAAGAATTATTCAAAATATATTTCTATTATTTCATTACCTTTATTTGGTGATTACATATCTGGCAAAATTAAATCCCAAGAGACCTTGAAAAGGCTTTTATTGTGAATATTCATGATATGATCTGAGACAAGCCAATAGCCTACAATGGTGATATTGTGGGAAAGATGGTTTACAAACCAGAAAATGTTCTCATTGAATAGTGACAGCTAAACCACCCAACCCCAGTCCATTCACAGTTAAAAAGTGAAGGCTATACAACAAACAGTAGGAAAAAAAAAAAAAAAGATAAGGAAGCCTAAACAGGTAGCATATCTAAGGTTAGATATAATAACAAGAATAAAACACCAAACAGTCAGTCAAAGAATGAACAAAGAAAAATAGCAAGAGAAAAAAAAGGAAGAGAGAAAAGATATCATGATGGAGAGAACAGGTTTTGAAAAGTATAAAGGCATACAAGAACATACATTGTGGAAATCTTTGTAGATTTGTCTAGTTGAATATAAAATTAGTTAATACTAATAATTAGATAAGGTTCATTACATTTTTCCTATGTTAGGAAACTTTTATCTTTTAGGTTGATTCAATTAAAATAATATAAATTTTTTGGAAAATATTTAACAAATGCTGGACTTTTTAGGCGTGTATTAATTCTTTAAATAGTTCTGATATATCAGCACCATAGCTTGATGTAAGGATTTGTTTCCTGCAGGTACCGCAATGTAGTTCTGGTCATTTGGAAGCCACACTCCTCCTATCCTAAGGTACTACCATCTTTAACAGACAGCCTTTATGTTTGCTGAAGAGGAAGAGAGAGGAACACAGCTCATGAAAGTTTTTTATGGACTTGGCCTGGAGGTGCCTCCAACTCTTCTGCCCATGTTACGTTGACCAGAAATCACTCACATGACTTCAGTCTAACTGTGCAGAGCTTTGGAAAATGACATCTTTCTACTGGATCAAGAAAACAAGCATGCATATGGATATCATTCTCTGTTTGAGTGCCTGAAGACTCAGCAGTCATTGGCAGCAAATAGGAAAAGAGATAAAAACTCTGCCTTTCAGGGCAGAGAACAGCAATGAAGCGCAATGGAAAATTTAAATACATGGTAATTAGATGGTAATATATCCTAAGTAGAGGACAAAAGCACGCAAATAAGGAAAGCACTCAGAAAAGGAATGGGATTCAGTTACAATTTAAATAAGGCAATTGAGAAAAGGACTCGCTGAGAAGGAGGTATTTGAGGAAAGACCCAGGAAGGCAAGCAGAAGTATGCACTTTCCTCAGAGGATGCAGCCACTTGGAGAGCTCTGGACAGGGATGTAGCTGCCATGGCAGAGGCATGGCGAGGAGCCCAATATGGGTAAAGTAGAGTGAGCCTCTGGTCGCCGGTCACGGGAGTTAGACGAGATCAGCGAGGTAATGAGGGTGGCAAATTCCATGCTGTTTGAGGACTGGCTTTTCTGTGGTTGGTCTTTGTTGGTTTTATATTGGAAACACTGATAGTTTTGCAAAGAGTTCTGACATTCATGGAACTCCTTTTAATAGGATTATTCTAGTTGCTAAACTGAGAGTAGAATGCAGAGAAAGAGTGGACATAAGTGGAGTAGGTAAAAGATCATTGAAATAGTCTGAAATGACTGGGTCAGTGATAATTGGGAGAATTGGACCAGATCACTAATAACGAAGAGGAAGCCAAAGATTATCTAATATGGTAGAGAGAAAAAAATAAAAATTGACTCCAAGTTTTTGTGCCTCAGCCCACAGACAGGTAGAATGGTATGGAAATGCAGGTTCTTTCCAGGGAATGTGATGGTCAGACTAAGAACAAGTTTCTGACGCACTGAAGTTGAGGTGATTTTTAGCTATTCCAATAAAAATTATACAGGAAGAATTTGAATATAATGCATGTGTAGTTCAGGGAAGTAGTATTTCTGGAGATAGGAATTTGCTAGTTAAAGATACAAGCTAGTCAGATGAAACGCTAATGCAATAGAAGAAGAGTTAAAGGACGCAGGTAGGGCCACTGTGACTTTCCAAGATTGGAGAGGAGGACGATAAGAGATCAGAATGTCTACTGGAGAAAATGGGAAAGAAGCAACCAGTGAGAGACAAGGAAAATAAGTAGAAGGCAGGGGAAGCAAATGCTTCCATAAGGGAGAAATCAAATGTAGCAAACACTGCAGAGAGATCCAATAAACAAGAAATGAGATTTGACTGTTGGATTTAGAACATGAATGCCATTGGTGTCCTTGACAAGAGCCTTCCATCAAGTGATGATGAAGAAACTTGACTAGAGTGAGTTCAAAGGAAAACGAGGGGAGGAACTGCAGAAATAGGAACGTAGAAAACACTTACTGCTCTAAAGGGAGAGGAGGAAATCAGTTACCATTTGGAGTGGGAAGTGGGTTTAAAGAAGCCGTTTTTCCTTAGGTATCTGTACGTTGATGAGAAATAGTAAGCAGGAGTGTTACAGAAGAGAGAAGGAAGAGCTCTAAGAGGAGTTTTGTTTAATTTACAGAAGTAGACCAGATCAAATGTGTAAGGGAAGGTTGAAAGTGACATCCACTTCTTACAGGGAAGAAGGCATAGATGTAGGTCAGGAAGGGATGAGGGGATACTTGTGGAGTCTCATCTGATTGCCTCTATTTCTTCAGCAGAATGAAAGTGAAAACGAAGAAGGGACTGTTAGACATTTGAGGAGAGAGGCGATAGTACAAAATGGTCACCTAGGAAATAGGGAGAGTGAATGGGCTGGGGAAATGTGGTGCGATTGGCCACATGAAGGGCTCTCTTGTGGAGAGTGCATGCATTTAAAGTGAGGCGAGTCAGCAGCCCTGTGTTTATTTCCAGCTTCATTTAGTTTCATGGGTGCAGGTGAGGATAAGAAGAGGGCTAAGTTTAACCAGAGTTGCATTTTTCAAGTGAGTAGGCCAAAGAGAGAGTAAACTTCAGAACGCAGAGTGAGGGTGCGGAGAGTTCAAAGGCAGTTTCAAAAGTGAATTCCATGGGGTGCTAATGCCAGTGCTGAGTTGCAGTAGCAGAGGGTGCGAATTGGAAAGGCTAAAGTCACTGAAGAGCAGGAGTGACTTAAGAGGAATTTACAATTTGGGGGATCAAGTTCTAAGGCATGAAAGGATAACTGAAATCATGAAAGGAGTTCAGGGCGAAGAGAAACAATTTCAGAACTTGCATCTGTTTGGGCACTAAAATCACTAGGACTTAAGATAGGAGTAATTTTGTAGACTATCAAATTGTGTTAGGAATTAAATTTTTGAAGCACCAGTCCCTGGCAGCTATGGGGAAGAAGGGAAAATGGGTCCTATAATCAGATGTCCAGGGATCCCAGCCGGGTAGTATGTGGGATCTCGGGGTGGCAATGGTGAGAAAGAAATGAGTATAGGGGAATGGTGACTTAGAAGAGACAATAAACATGAGAACAGGTGGAGGGCGTTGATTTTCATGACCTCCAACTGGAGCTCTCCAAAGGGCTTTAACTGGGAAGAATTCAGGGTATCAAGAGAAATGAGAACTACCTCCAGAAAAGGGTTCACACAGAGCTGTATGCAAATTAGAATACAGGAGTCTAGGGCACACCATTCAGTTTGATCTTTAAATGAACAGTCGATACTTGTTTGTATTTATACCCATCCTAGCTCATCCCCACCTCCTGTCTCAGTCTTGCCCCTTAATATCCACTGATCTGTTCTTCATCTCTGTAGTTTCCTTATTTTGAAGATGCTCAATGAATGAGTGAAGTCATACACTATATAACCTTTTATGAGTAGCATTTTTCAGTCAGCATGATACCCTGAAGTCCATTCCAGTTGTCACGAGAATCAATCATCCATTCTTTTTCATTGTTGAACTGTACTTTGTAATGTGAAAAGTCATATTTTGCCCATCTACTTGTGTGTCTAAAGACATGAGTTGTTTTTAGAATTTTTCTGTAATCCATAAACCTGACAAGAGCACTTCATGCACAGGATTGCCACCGTCTTTTAAAAATTTGCTTTGTTTTAACATTTCTTTAAATAATAACTTAAATAGTCGTTGTGTACATTTATGATTTTTAAAAGTCTAAAATAATTTCAACTGTGGAAGTAACATTGGAGACACAGTCTATAGTAAATTACATGCACAAACTGCACACAGCAGTATGGATGACTTTTGCAACATTATGCGGAGTGAACAGAGCCAGGCCACTTACATGAAACAAGACAAAGGTTTGAATGAGACAAAGAGCAAGGGCTTTTGATAATATCAGTTTTTATCCTTGAGAAATTGTGACTGGCTCCCGGCCTGCTGGTAATTAATGTCTGTTATTTGATTTGGTTGATAGATTCATTGGTCTTTTAGATTGGTGAAAGCCCATAGAATGGTACATATTTAAGAGGTGCACTTTTCTAAATAGATATATACTCCAACAAAGTGTTTACAGAATGAACTTTAGCCTGTGAATCCAGGGTTTCTTTAGTTTGTTCCTTTATTTAATTGCTCATAGTGGGCTAGAATCTATAATTCTGTTTCAGTTTCAATCATCAAGAACATTTTATTTTGTAATGCTCTCAGAGAAAAGAAAAGAGAAATGCTTAAGCTGGGTATCTTGAACAAACTCTCACTAATTTATTGATAGTGGTAGCATTGATTTCATCTGTAATTCTTTTTTTTTTTTCCCTGTAATTGATCTCATTGTCAACACCCAACCTGAGAACAATGGAATGGATAAGTAGAATTCTT